TGGAAAGAGCCGCACGGCTCCGGAGCGGTCAGTGCCCACCAGCTGCCTCCTGCCCTGGCTGCTGATCCTGCAGCATTCCCGTCTCCCTGCAGTGCCCATTCCCCTCTCCCTGCAGTGCCCATTCCCCTCTCCCTGCATTGCCCATTCCCCTCTCCCTGCACTGCTCATTCCTCCCTCCCTGCACTGCTCATTCCCCTCTCCTTGCAGTGCTCATTCCCCTGGAGGAGGTCAGGGCTGACTGGGAGAAGACCAGTGGCCCTTTCCACAAGCAGCGCGTGGCCGAGCGCTGTGGGGTGTTCCGAGACCTGTTCAAGGGAGCCACATTCACCCCCTGGGTTGCTCTGAGGGTAGAGTACAGCCAAGAGGATGAGCACCTGGTGCCAGTCTACTATGGGAACATAGTGACTCCGTCAGAGGTGAGTGAGGGGAGCTGGGAACAACCTGGAGCCTGTGGGAAGCCTGTTTGTGTCCTTCTGTTTCTGCCAATGGGCATGGTTCATTCCAGGGGATTCCTTTTCCTTTGTACTGAAGGAGATTTATTTCTTGAATGGGATAAGGGCAGATGTTTGCCTTTCTGTCAGCAGGCTGATGGTTATTAATGCACTGGGGGCTCTCCAGGTGCAGCTGGATTGCTCAGTGCCATGACTGAGCCCATTCTGTGCTGTGTCCTAGTCTTGCTCATTACAAGTTCATGGAACCTGTTGTTGGAGTGATTTACATTCTCTTTATGTCATTCTTTTAGGCTTCCAGTCCCCCCACAGTGTCATATGAGGCAGATAAAGGCTCCCTCTGGACCTTGTTGCTCACAAATCCAGGTGAGCAGTGAGTTCGTTAAGGGAACATGATTAAACTGAGTTGTTTCCCTCAGCTGTTGGTTAACTCCTCTTTCTTTTGGCTGCAGCCAGAGGTGATGAACACTGCAAGTGTTCAAGGCCAGGTTGGACAGGGCTTGGAGTAACCTGGACTAGTGGAAGGTGTTCCTGCCCATGACAGGGGGTTGGAACAAGATGAGCTTTGAGGTCCCTTCCAGCTCAAACCATCCTGTGATTCTATGACGTGATATCTGCTAATAGGGATATATTATATATGTAGGAAAGATTGTAGCCTCCCCAAGTGTGTAGCAGTGGAGAGAGGGAACAGTGACACAACAGGACCTGTGTCACACTGTAGAGGAAACAATTCCCTGACTCCCATCCTTCATTTGCCCCCAAACTCCTCTCCTGGAAGGTAGGCACTGTTCACCCTGAGAAACAAAGGCACAGTGAAGGGAAGCAGCTGACCAAGAATATTCCAGGATCCCAGGAATCTTGTAATTGGATCTGCAGAGTTCTTTGCTTTAAATTTTAAACTCAGTCCTTTAAGAATGAGTTTCTTTTCTGCTAGGAAAGGAATGTTGGGAAGTGTCGAGCTGCTCCCTCTGGTCAGAGCAGGTCTGGGCAGTCTCACTTTGGGGTGATGCCAGCACCAGGGTGTCCCTAAGTCACCTTTCTCTGTCGTGTGTTGCAGATGGACATCTGAGGGACACGGACTCAGAGTACCTCCACTGGCTGGTGTGAGTACATCAGAGCTCTGTGCTCAGGGAGGAGGCAGAAACTCCTCCAGCAGAGCTTGGGAATCTTTGGCTTTCCCCAGTGCTCCTGCCATTGCCTCCTTTAGCCCCATGCTCTGGGTCCTGCTAAAGATGCAGGAGTTCCAGGTATTGCTGCTGTTTGGCATTCCAGTCACTGGGTGGGATTTTTCCTCCAGTAAAAGCAGCTTCTGCTCTCTGTTCCCTTATCAAATGGGACAGAAGTGTTTTGCAGTCCTGGGTGGATCTGGTGGTCCTCTTGGAGGGAATCGAGTGGATACACAGCAAAGTAAATGTTTTTGTGTTCAGGACCAACATCCCAGGCAATGACATCAAGTCGGGTAAGGAGATCTGCCACTACCTGCCCCCCTTCCCTGCCATGGGCACTGGCTACCATCGTTTCATCTTCCTCCTCTTCAAGCAAGAGTGTCCCATCGACTTCAGTGAGGACACGCGGCCGACGCCATGGTAACTGCTCTGCACACTCTGGGCTTGGCTGTTACTGCTGCTGGTGTCCACGTGCTTGTCACTGCAGCAGGAGAGCAGCTCCTTTCACTCCACAGGGTTCTCCAGGGCTGCTCTGGGTCTGTGTCTCCTGCAGCCACAATCCCAGCCCTGCCCGCACTGCACTCCTGTTGCTAGAGAACAGGCTGTTAGGGAAGTGGTTGGCTCTGCCCAGGACAGATATGCGCACAGAGCTGGAGGCATTGGGAGGTTTCCCTTTGGTGGCTTTCTTTTCCACCTCTGTTTTTCAGACTGGGGTGATGGGGAGCAGTAGTTGCCTACCAGGGTGCTGCTGCAGGGAGGGTGTTCATGTGTTATGCTTGTTTGGTTTGCAGCTACAGCCTCAAGATGAGAACCTTTAGCACGTTTGACTTCTACAGAAAGCACGAGGATGCCATGACCCCAGCAGGGCTGGCGTTTTTCCAGTGTCAGTGGGATAGCTCTGTCACCTCTGTCTTCCATCAGCTTCTCAGTAAGGAATGCTGTGTGTGGGAATACTGGAGGGGGCTCCTGGGTGGGACATGGCCCTGCAGGATCTCAATAGGTCCTGGCACACATCTGGGATGGGTTACAGCACAAACTGGGTCCTTCCTGAGCCATCCTCCTCCAAACTAACAGCAGCCTGAGGGAGCAACCTTCCACGGGCTGTTTGGAATGAGGATTTAAAAATACTTCCAAGAGTGCTTTCACCAGGGTGTTTGAGTGGGTGGGAAGGGGCCTGAGGCTCAGATCTGAGCCCTCCTGCTGACCTACTGCACTGCTTCTTCGCAGACATGAGGGAGCCTGTGTTCGAGTTCGTGCGCCCACCTGTGTACCACCCTCCACAGCTCAAGTTCCCTCGCCACCAGCCCCTGAGGTACCTGGACAGGTACCGAGACACAGAGGAGCCCACCTACGGCATTTACTAGGGAGCTGCTCCCTCACGGGCACACTGTGCTCACTGGGATGCCAACTGCCAGCCTTCCTGCGCCCCCTCAGCGCCTCGGGAGGGAGATGGCAGACCTTCAGCCCCTCAACTCCCAGTTGCTCTCTGCTGGCAGCACTGGGAACTGTGCAGCCCAGGGCAGGAGGGGCTCACAGTGCTGCCAGCTGTGTGGCTGCTTAAAGAGGATCTTCACAGATGGAAGTGAATCCACAGCCAGGCTGAAATCTTGCTCCTGATTCTGTAGCAGAGCTCGTCAGTGGCTGGCAGGGTAGAGTCTCCCCAGAGATGCCCTGCCTTACTTGTCTGCAAGGATCACAGTTCTCCTTTTGCCTGTTCATGGAACAAACAGAGCCAGGCCAGCCTGGATTTCCTCCTCTTACAGGGCTGCAGTTCAGGACTGTGTTGGCTTTTATTGGTGTAGTCCTCTTCGAGAGATGAGTCTGATTAAACACACTCTGAGCAATGTTGGCAGAGCTGTCTTTATTGGGAAGAGCCTGTTATCCCAGCCAGCTGGGGAGCTCAGCAGGGTGCAGGGGAGAAGGGCAGTCCTTTCCCTGGTTGGGGTTGCTT